TTAGAGATATTATTTGGTTGGTTTAATCGACTATTAGTTTGATCTAATCGGTTTGATTGGTTTAATCAATTAACAGTGGCTTAAATAAGGAGCAAAGAGAAAAAATGACTAAAGAAGAAAAAAAAAAAGGTAAGTAATAAAATGAGGGGTGAAATGTCACAAATAAATCTGTTGGTTTAAATTAGGAGTAAAGAGAAAAAAAAAGGAAGTTATAAACTGTTCATGGAATGTTTTATGGTATAATTGGCTCACGATAATCAGCTTCCGGAAAAAATTAAAATACACTTATAATTTAAGTGAGGACATACTTGTCATGACACTTATGATTTCAGTGGATTTATCAAAATTCTCAGTGGAAGAATCAAGGCCATTTATCCTCGTATTTATCTTAATGTTATTGCATTCAAATGTTCAAGGAATGCATCAGCATCACTCATTTATTAGATTTCCTTAAAAGGCCACATCGATCCGACCCCGTCTCCATTGACATATTCACGCAATTTGGATATCACAATCGTCTAACTATTGGTATCACATTTCATCTTCTTACTCATCAATATATACTAGCAATCATACTTTCCATTCAATGTCAATGGTGGAAACCAAAGAAAAAAGTTTCACAAAACAAAAATAAATATGTCCAACTGATCATCCAGTTAAGTTATATATATTACAATATTAAATCCAACATTGACATTTTACATTACGTCTTTCTGGTAACCAACTATTTTAAATTTCTTTTGTAACATTCTTTTATTTTTCTTTTCCTTTATATAGCTAGACTGTCATGAAGAATACAATTCAAATTGTAATAAGTCCTTTGTGGAAAAGTAGGACATTCGCTTCTACATCAAACACACCCCTTCTGGAAAAATATGAAATTGCCATAAATTAGTTTTTCAAATAAAAGGAAATGAAATAAACAAGATAAAAGGGCTGCTCAAGTATAAAGTAGGATACCCAAACCCTCATTTTTTAAAACACAACATGGCAAAGAAAATAATGTCTTCTTCAAACTTACTAGCTTTCTCTCTAACTCTACTAATCATTACCGTACACCAACACCAAATTCTGCTTCTGCTTCGTTGGAATAATCTTCTTAAATGGAAAGAAAGCCTTTAAATCCCAAATAATTTGTTACTCTCTTCATGGATTCTCCTCCTTATGAATTCCAGTGCATCGATCCCATGCACTTCTTGGTTCGGAGGAGTTTGCAATGCTGATGGGAGCATTCAGAAGTTGAACCTCACGTCATCTAGATTACGAGGTGGTGGTGATTTTACATCACTAATATTATTTAAGTGTAATAGGATTAATTTGTTGATACCCAAACCCTCATTTTTAAAAGTGCACTGCTATTTAGGGATGAAGCCCCTGAACAAATGGGGTCTGGGGCCAGCATCCCCGGGAGTGGGGTCTAAGGGGCAGTATCCCTGGGAGCGGGGTCTAAGGGTCAGCAACCCCTAGCAGGATCCAATGGCAGAGTCCGTGGTTGGGTCAAGTTGTCATGTGGCTCTATTAAAAATGCATAAAAATCCGGATTATCGGTAAATGCACCCGTTTTTGTGATCCATATTCTAGACCCGGATTTAAGTTGGTTTATGATTGTTTTTGGACAGTTTTAGGACATAAAACTGTCATGTAACAGTTTTAAGACCGGAAGTTTTTCTTGTTATATGATCATTTTAGAAATCAGTTTTGGTACTCTTCTTCTTCATAACATCTTTAACATTATCTCTTCTATTTCTTTGATTTTCTGAGTCTTATCTGATTAAAGATTGAGAGTACCACCCAAATACTTGAATATGAAAATGTTATACACAATTCTCAGGATTTCCAAGTGTTTTACCCCTCTTTTCTAACACGAGGTACACTTCAACAAATTTCATTCTTTTTCCTACAAAATCTTACACATTTTGATCTCACTGTAAACAAGTTCTTTGGCCCTATCCTACATCCGACTCCTGTCCAAACTGGTCTATCTTGATTTTTCAGAGAATAAGTTTTCTGGTGAAATCCCACCTGAAATAGGAAGCATGATCACACTTGAGTTCCTAGACATATCCTCAAACAATATATCAAGGTCAATTCTTCCTTCAGTATTGGGTGCTTTGACATCTTTGTTTGTCCTTTCTTTGTACCAAAATCAACTCTCAGGTGCCATTCCTATTGAACTTGGGAATTTGAAATCTCTCACTTTTCTTGAGGTGAGCATGAATCAGCTTAGTGGCACCATTCCTTCATCACTAGCAAACTTGAGCAACCTACAACATTTGTACCTTGATGAGAACAATTTATCTGGTACCATTCCTATTGAACTTGGGAATTTAAAATCTCTCACTTTTCTTCGGGTGAGCAAGAATCAAGTAAGTGGCAACATTCCTTCATCACTAGCAAACCTGAGCAACCAATATCGTTTGAATCTGGCTCATAATAAGTTATCTCTGGTCCCATTCCTATTGATCTTGGGAAATTGAAGTCTCTCACTAGGCTTCTGGTAAGCAACAATACACTTAGTGATTCTATTCCTTCATCAATTGCAAAGCTGAGCAACCTACAATTTCTGTTCCTCGATCAGAATAAATTATCTGGTCCAATTCCTATTGAACTTGGGAATTTGAAGGCTCTCACTAATTTCCATGTGAGCCAAAATCTACTAAGTGGTTCGATTCCTTCCTCGCTAGAAAACCTCAGTAACCTACAGTGTATGTACCTATAAAAGAATAATTTTTCTGGTCTCATTCCTAATGAACTTGGGAATTTGATGTTAGTGAATGTACATGTAGCACATCTTGTATGCAGCCCACATAGTTTGTATATAGTCCATATATTAGCCTTATTGTAATCATGTATATATACCTTGTATCTCTCGTTATATGCAGATAATAAGATTTATTTGGTGATCATCCTCAAAATGATATCACAGCCTACCTTCCCTAATTCCTCTCCATAATTATCTCCATTCCTTTTCTTTTCAATTTAAAACAGGCGGCTACCCTAGCATCCATTGCATCTCTGCCGACCACCCTATTCTTCATCTTTTTCATTCACGATGACGCCTCCTATACCACCACCTCATAAAGTTTTTAGCATCAACAATATCAATCTCACATACCTTTGATTCTCGATCTTGAAAGGCTCAATTACGACTCTTGGCGCCATCTTTTCTCCACCTTCTGTGAAGCTTACTATGCTTGTGATCATATCAACAACACTAATGGCGAAACCACTCCGGCTCCTACCACACATGAATGGAAGAAGGTGGATGCCGTTGTTCAAATGTGGATTTTCTCGGTTCTTTCTTAACCACTTCTCGACATGGTTCTTGTTCCCGAAGCAAATTTGAAGTCTCTCACTGTAGTAAGTAACAATCAACTTAGTGGTTCTATTCCTTTATCTCTAGCAAACCTGAGTAACCTACAGCTTCTGTACCTAGATGTGAATAAATTATCTGGTCCAATTCCTACTGGACTTGGGAATTTGAACTCTCTTACTGATCTTGACGCTAGCCAGAATAAGCTTAGTGGCAGCATACCATCAGAGTTAAAAAATTCAACTCAATTAAGGAGGCTTGATCTTTCTTCCAATCAGTTGGTAGGTGAAATCCCTGTGGAATATGGGAAGATGAAAAGTATGCTGAATTTGTACTTGTATAATAGCCAACTTTCAGGCACTACACTTCTGGAGCTTGCATCATTCCATGAACTCCTTGTACTAGATCTATCAACAAACAGATTGAATGGGTTGATACCCAGAAGTATTGGTCAATGGGCACAAATCAATTACCTGAATCTTAGTAATAACAAGCTCGGTGGAAAAATCCCGTCCGAGATTGGTAAATTAGTTCATCTTGAGAAACTTGATTTATCTCGGAATTTGTTCACACAAGAGATACCATCTGAAGTTCAAACTTTACAAACTTTGCAGAAATTGGATCTTTCCCACAATATGCTATCTGGTTCTATTCCTAATGCTTTTACAAATTTGCATTATGGAATTGATATTGACCTGTCTTACAATGGGCAATCCATGTTTGTGTGGAAATGTTACGGGAATGAAACTTTGTACAAGTCAAATTATGAAGAAGAAAAATGATCCCTTTCGTCACAAGCTCATCCTTGTAATTATGCTCCCCCTTATAGGGGTAGTTTTACTTGGTTTATTCACGTATAGATTCATTGCTTATCGACAACAATGTAAAAAGTCTCCACGTAAACCATTGGAAGAAGAAAGTGGTGATTATTTCCATATTACAAGTTTTGATGGTAAAGTAGGGTATGATGATATCTTGAAGGCAACAAATGATTTCAATGAAGTGTACTGTTTAGGGACAGGAGGATATGGTATTGTTTACAAGGCTAAGCTACAACCTGACAATGTGGTTGCTGTCAAGAAACTTCATTCATCATCATGTTGATCATAGTGGTTTCCTTAATGAAGTACGGGCATTAACAAATATAAGGCACCGAAACATAGTGAAACTCTATGGATATTGCTCCCATGCCCGCAACTCGATTTTGATTTATGGATACCTTGAAAAGGGAAGCCTTGGATCAATCTTAAGAAGCGATGTCTTGGCAAAAGAATTGGATTTGTTGAAAAGAGTAACTATTGTAAAGGGCGTTGCTAATGGTTTGGTTTATATGCATCACGATTGCACACCTCCTATAATTCATAGAGACATTTCCATATCCAACATCCTTCTCGATTCTGATTATGAGGCACGCATTTCTGATTTTGGCACATCCAAGCTTTTAAAGCTAGACTCATCAAAATGGACCACAGTAGCAGGAACCTATGGTTATATCACTCCAGGTAACAAAATCTTGTGATTGTAGTGCTACATCTTCTTAAGTTTCACGATGTACATAAATATGTATCTACGTTAGAATCATGTGAGGTTGATATAGCTTTTTTTTTTTTTCTTATGTTTCTTTGGATGTAGAGCTTTCTTATATGATGGTGGGAAATGAGAAATGTGATGTGTATAGCTTTGGAGTTGTTGCACTAGAAGTGGTCATGGGAAAGCATCCTGGAGAACTCATAACATCAATATTAACATTATCAGATGATCATCTGGTGTTAGGAAATGTGGAAGACAGTCGGATACCGCCTCCCTCATCCCAAGTTGTGAAAGAAGTTATGTCAGTATTGAGTCTCAAGAGCATGTTTGAACTCCAATCCACTTGAAAGACCAACGAAGCACCTAGTTTCAAATCTGTTGATGAAGGCCTAATATAGTGTACTTTCAATGTCTTTATTTTTCTGTAGTTTCCTAGGATTCACCCTATGATATTTATGAAATTAGATGCCTTCTTGTTAAGATACTACAGATATGTTTTCTTATATCCGCATTTGAAAGCTTTCTTGTGAAGATACTTGTTAGATACTACTACCGATATGTTTTCTTGCATCAGCATTTAAATGGTTTCTTCTTAAGATACTACTGATACGTTTTCTTATATCAGCATTTATATTCCTTCTTGTTAAGATACTCTGGATATGTTTTGTTATGTATTACGTGGTAGATAAATAAGTCAATGAAAATTGCAATCCTTCTAGAAATTTAGCTACACAAGTTTCTCTTGTACAACGGATTTCCATTAGCTATCTTTACAGGTGAAATTTAGCAACTTTTTCCATCACTTGGATTTCCAATACATGTAAAAAGTAGCAAAATAACATTGGTAAATTAATTTTATACAACAAAAAAATTATTATTCATTTTATGTCAAATAAATACAAATTCAAATACATATTTCAATAGGGTTTTGCAAAACGTATACAGAAGGTTTCAATTACAATTCCTCTTAACTCTTGATACAAGCTTCTTATGAATTACATGTTGAAGAATCTTAACACTAACATAAGAAGACCGTATTGTATTACTGTATAAAAAAAAAGAACGTTTAAGTGTTTAACTACTGTATGTTCTTTAAACTGATAATATGTATTCTCGACTCTGCTGCTTTCCCTTGCTGTGATTTTATTTTCAGTTTATGTGGTTGAGTGTTACTAATTCATATATTTTATGTATTCTCAACACAAGATTTTTTTTAAGAATGTTGTAGTGTTACATATTCAGTTAAATCTTCTGTATCTTGTAATAACCCAAGCCAATCATACGGTAATTTTTTCCCCATGACCTAATCTTACACTCTAGGTTGTCCATTTAGTATCTGCCTATAAAAAGGGAAGATGAAAATTAGCCAAATGAAAATTTTATCACAACACGCATATTAATGATCTAATACAGGGAAAATAAAGAGTTTCAAGCATGAAAGAGACTTTAAATCCCTTAAGTACATTATGCATGTGGTTGATAAAGCAATGATAAAGGCTTATTTCTATGAAAATCAAACACTGGCAAATGTTATGTTCTCAGTTTATACAAAAGAGTTGAAACAATTTGCAATTGACCTAATCGCGAAAATAGCAATCTGGTGAGAGTTTGGCAAAACAACTAAAGTAAATATTTGAGTACAAGGCTGAAATAAGAAAGCCGATACATATGATTTGGGATTAATGTAACTAATCTAAAAAGGATATTTGTAGAAAATTCTCATGATTTTGAGAAAATTACCGATTAAGTTTCAAACTTTTTTTTTATATATAAAAACCCAAGAAACTAACAAATTTCTTTATTTTAGCATTTTTTGACCTGTTCATGTCATTGGACCACATCGTCAATTACATCGTTAGTTTTTCCAAAATAATGAGACATTTTTATAAATTTTCTAAAAGTTTGTATATAATGTATAAAAGTATTTTTATGTATTCACAATGTATTTTTAAGTATTTTTACATATTTATAAGTTTCTTTAAAGTTTTTTTTTTCATTTTTATATATATTTTTACATATTTTATGTATTTCAAATGTATAAATGTATTTTTTATGTATTTATATAAAATTCTAAGTATTTCTACGTACTTTTATGTATTTTGGAATGATTTTCATGTAATTATCTACTTTTTAAAGTTTTTTATATAGTTTTTTTTACATATTTTTATGTATTTTAAATATATAAACGTGGTTTTTATAAATTTATATGTATTTTTTTTTAAGTATTGTTAAGTATTTTGGTATTTTTTTTTACGTATTTATGAATTTTTTTTACTTAATGGTATTATTGGATGACAATCAATTTGATTCTCATTTCATACCGAAAACATACAATACAAGGTAATATATAGAGTATATACAGGCTGTTGGGCCGATTACAATAAAACTAATATTGGGTTAATATACACACGTATACAATATATACTAACATCCCCCCGCAGTTTGATCTGGAGGGAAATGACGGACGTTTAAACTGGAGCAAAAATCTATGAATAAGTTGGTGGGTAGACTTTGGTGAAGATATCGACATAATGGGTAGACCTTTGTTGAAGATATGGGCAAGAGCTACTTTGTCGCGAACAAAGTGAATGTCGATTTCGAGATGTTTCGTTCTTTGGTGTTGAACTGGTTTGATTGACATGTAGACCGCACTGACGTTGTCATAATATACAATGGTTGCTTGTAGCATAGGACAATGGAGTTCAAGAACAAGGTTCCGAAGCCAGGAGATTTCAACAATGGTATTGGCAACACCACGGTACTCAGCCTCAGCTAGCGCTAGATCTAGAAATGGTGCCTTGTCTTTTGGAGGACCAAGAAATGAGGTTGTCTCCAAGAAATACACAGTATCCTGCAGTGGAGCGTCTGGTTGCACGGCATCCCCTAGTGCGCGTCAGAGTATGCTACGAGAGATGAAGTGGGGGAGACGTATAGTTGGAGCCCATAGTCAAGAGTTCCTCGCACATAGCGAAGAATCTGTTTGAGAGCGTGAAGATGAGGCTCGCGGGGATCATGCATGTATAAGAAAATTTGTTGAAGTGTGAAAGCAATGTCTGGTGAAAGTGACATACTGAAGGGCACCTGCTACACTGCGAAATAAAGTGGGGTCAGCTACCGGTGTGTCGGATGCGTCTAGTTTGTGGAGTGGTTTAGTTGGAGTCCGACATGGGTTACAATTTCTCATGTTGGCTTTGTCTAAAATCTCACAGACATACTTCTGTTGAGAGAGGAAAAGACCTGTGGAAGATCAGACAGCAGAGATACCCAAAAAATAGTTAAGTGGTCCAAGATCGGTCATGAAAAACTCACTGCTATGTTTGGCAATAATTTACTGTAAGAGAGATGTAGAAGAAGCTGTCAATATGATGTCGTCAACATAAAGTAATAAATATGCGGTTGCACCAACTGAGTGAAGAATGAATAATAACGGGTCCGACGGTGGTGAAAACCAACGGATGTGGCATGATGGGTGTGACAACCCGTAATTTTAATCTTGTACAATTAATCAATTCAATCAATATTCAACTTGTTTTGTCTATTTCTAGTGCTATTCAAAGGGTCATTTAAGTGTTCTAAGCTTGTATATATAACCGAGGTTGAGTATAGGAATGAGTCGGAGTGTTGAATAGTGAGAAAATTGGGCCATACACACCTCTTGGAGGAGTGTACGACCGTACAGACGGGTGTGCGGCCGCACACCCACTCCCTTGGCAGCACACTCACTTTTGACAGCACTCACATTCCTATATAAAGGGTAGCCCCTTCCTTTCATTCCTTTAGCACCTTGGCAGCACACAACATCATTTCCTCTCAAGTTTCTCCAACTTTGAACCTTCCAAAGCTTAAAAAACGTGAGTAATCCATCCCATGACTTGTTGTGCATGAAGAACCTCTTGATCTAGACCTTGAATCATGAAAGTACCAACATGTTCTTCATCTCGTTGAAGGAGTGCGACCACACACCCATGTGTGCGGCAGCACATTCCTGTGTGTGGCCACACACTCATGTGTGCGGCATCACACACATTTGTACGACCACACATACACACACCATAGGACCACAAACCCATTTCTAAGACCCTAAACTTGGACTACAACCAAGTATGGTCCTAGGACACTTCATGGATGCAAGTATGGACCTTGAAAACACCTCAAAGGAACCTCCCATCATGAGTGTAAGGCCGGACACCCTTTAGGCCGCACACCCATGGCAGTACACACCTTTAAAGTGGCCATACACCTCACTCATGCAATCCTTTGAGGTCCTAACACTTAGTGCAAGTAGTCCCAAGTTCTTAGAATGGTTCTTCATCACATCTAGTGGTGAAATACCATCATTAATTTGACTCCTTTATGTGTCATTACTTGTTGATTAGGATCAAATCGTGTTCAAGGCTTCACTTGAACATCCCACATTCTATATTGATCCTTCATTCAAATCACCCGAGGTGAGTTCTTACCCCTACATTTTTTCGTATTATTAATGTTTTCAGCGGGGGGGGGGGGGGGGGGGGGATACAAGCTAAACATAAATGTTTTCAAAACTCATGAAATTCTCATACTTTAACCCTTTGTACTATGTTGAGCACAAGGGTCATTTTTCACTAAAATTGCATAGTTTTTCCGGATCTGCTATTCATTACGTTATACATGCAAACTATAATCGGTATGGTTTGGATTTTTTTCTAAACATAACAAGTATAGAAAATTTCACTAGTAAATGTATTCACTAAGACAAAAATAGTTTACAGTTTGCATCACTACTTTATCACGTTTTCATAACTGTAATTATCACTACAAACGGTATGCATTTAGATTTTCACTACGGTAGAACACTACTACACTACATGTAAACTAGATTGTACGATACTGTGAGGCGCTACTTCACTACTGTACCCTTAGGTGTACAGGGATAAATCCTATCATAGTATAACCAGAGTCTCCTGGAGGGAGAGCGTGAGATTTGTGAATAGATATATTCGAGACTGACAATCCCACACCCCAACTGCTAGCTACAGTTAGGCAGACATGCCTAGGGTGACAAATGTCATTTAACTCGATGCCTGAAGAACATTGGAAAGGTCTCTAATCATATCAAGTATGGTTATACGACTCACATTATGTATAAATTATCTTTAGTTTACAATCCGACACTCTTCAATAGTTTTATTCATTCTAAATAGAACCACTACACACTACCACTGGAGAACTTTCAGAGTTTTCAAATAGAACAGAACATACAATGGTTTCACGTACGAAATACTTATATATCATGATTAGCATTAGCTAGTCACATGAAGTATTAGTTTCGCATACCACTACGGTTTTCAGTAAGAAACATTCACGT